TCTCGTCAGCATCGGCATCCGCATCATCATCAGCATGCTAGCCACAGCTGCAGTGGCATCTTTGCGTGCATCGTCCCGCCGTGCAGGCTGCCCTGTTGGGGGGAGGTGGGTGTTGCGAGCTACCAGGCTTGGCCGCATTCGACCCCTCATCAATGCCAAAAGCAGTGTGAGGCGCCCTATCCATCTCAGCTATGCACGCCATCATTGGCACCCTGAGGAGGCAGCAGCTTTGCGCACCGTAGGGTTTCCAGTGTGGAGCGTGACAAAGTGCTCCCCCCTTTTTTTGCCCTTCGAACCCCATTGTTTAGCTTGCTCCGCTATTGATGTTACTACCAGTGCGCAGCTGCTTCGGTGGATATCCCCATCTAGACGGGGAAAAAGCGTCTTTGCTGCACCATAGAGGACACTTTCCGTGATTCCTCTTTTTTCATATTTTGGATTGAATCTCACGCTCTGTCGCTCTCAAGCGCGAAAGAACGTTGAGAATTTGGCTCCCTCAGAGTGCCCCAACTTCGTTCCAACCACGTGTTGCGTATCCTCTTGTGTGATGAGGACTAGGGTTTGGGCTCAGGCATCGGGAATACCCAAGTGGATTCCTGTCGGGACAACGTACAGATTTCCAGCGATGGAAGTCCGGAAGCGGAGGAAACTCAATGCTAGGATTAGGGAGCCTGTATGAGTGTGGATGTGAATGTGTGTCCACGAGTGAGTTTGGGAGTGACCCCAGTAACCAGAAATTTGAGGCGACGAGAGGCGATGAAAATCAGCACATGATTTATTACTCAGGTTATTTGGCAAGCTAGTAAAAGTGATTGTATGGAATTGTTGAATATATATTGAACTGATAATTTACTCTACATTTGATTACATGTGATGGTTTAAGTGATTAATAAGAAGTACTTATCTGGTCAATGCTTTTAGCATACCAATTGGTGGGGCTGAAATTAAACAGATCGACTTCATGGCTGTAAAAAAGAATGAGTGAAATGAAAAAAATAACATCTGTTGGACATAATATCTTCAGAGTTCTAATTTTAAAATTGAGATGTAAAATTTAAATAGGATTTCGTTAAAGAATATAAATTCTTATATTTTTAATAAATGTAAAGTATAATTATTTTGCAAAAGGTTTTATTTTAACGTCATGTTCCAATAAAACTAAAGTAGTCAACAAGTGATCATTAAATTGAAAACAATTCTACACAACATTAAATTTCAAATAAAATGATTTAAATCCTGCACATTTATTTCATTATTTCTGCTTGACAATACTAGTACTGTCTTATTTCATTTTCTGGATATTTTACAAACAAACTAATGCTGTATATCAGTGTGTTATTATTTTGGAATGGAATATTGAATTTGTTGCATGTAATATGCATCCTTGGTTGCTACATTTGTGCATATTATATCATTTTAAAAACATTGTGCATTTTCCATTAACTAATAAAAGCATATTGATTGCTTCCTTAAATTGTTTGTCACCATGTGCTCTACTTTGTAAATTGAGAGTGCCATAATTGGTTGTTGTTGCCACTCAAGAAAATAGTTTTGATGCAGCAATGAGCTGTATTCAAAGATGAATTCAAAATTATTTAACTTTTGTATATGGTTTTAACCATGATATTCTTTCAATTCAAAAATTTTAACTTGTAGATCCAATTTTGAGTGAATGGTGTCTTTGAACTAGTGGCCAAAACATTTAATTATTGTTTAATAAATTTATCTTGACTTAGGAACAGCATGATTCACTACATTAATGGACTTATCACTTATTGACTTATCATACTAATGGGTTTTATAAGATCAGATCTTGAGCACATTATTGCATGCAATGAATGATTTAATTACTTCTTTGTATTGTGTACCTTCTATGCTTTGTATCTCTATTTTATGCTCTTGGTTTGTGTTAGTGCACTTTTTTGGTATTTTAAAATTACACTTCATATTTACTTTTCTATATGTATTAAAAAACCTTGATTCACATGTATGTATGTATGTATGTATGTATGTATTTGAATATTATTTTTATTTATTTATTTATTTATTTATTAAAAATTACTGCATTCATGATGCTCATCATATTCTACTTTTAAAGCAATATCACTGTCTTTTGGAAACCTGTCTACAAAAATATGTAAAGTTTACCACTTCTGTTTAAATGCACCTCTAATAAATTTTTAAATTTCAAATTCACACAAATGATGAGATTAAGGTTACAATTGGTCTTGTAGATGTGCACATACACCACATTGTATATTTTGGTATTTTTACATTATCTAAAAACAAATTATTTTTGTTGAATTTATTAAAGACTCAAGCTACAAGCATATCCAAAGTTGGTACAAGCACACCCCAAATTACTCTATGCATATCCAAGAAAAATAGAGGCCTCTGATTGATTAGTTTTTGTTGTGCGGATTTTCTCACTTGTTATGTGGGAAAATTAAGGGAGGTAGAAATACCACACACAACAACCTTTCTTTGAATGCTTAGTCACAATGGCATAACCAAATTTTTTTTGTGTGGGTTTGGACATCTTTGAGCACTTCATCTTATGAGTTGTACATTTTTTTTTTTGAGTTTAGTGGGAGAAGGCTGAATAGAGTTTCACACAACAACAATCAGCCAATTAAAGGCCTCCATTTTTCTTGGGTATACATAAGCAATTTGGGGTGTGCTTGTAGCATGAGCCTTTATTAAATTCCTACTCTAAATTGGTGTGATTATAATTTATTTTTGGCATGAGTAGTGTATTTTGATATCCTTAAAATATGCAATTTAAGATTATATTTAGTAGATAAGATGTTTTTCAATCATTTGCAATGAATGTGCCAAACTTATGCAATAAGTCATATAACTTTAGTTCCTTGAAAATTATATACAGAAATTTACAAAAAGAATTTCAGCTAAATGGAGAATATTGTAACAACAGTAAAAATAAACCATGTTGAACAAAACAATGCTAATAGAATTAAACAACTTATTTTATTCCATTTTATTCGTTTTTATCCCAAGAATGATCTTGCTAAACAACAGAAACATTGATGCCAGACCATGGCAGTCTGCCTAGATTTAAATCACACCCCACAGTTCAGTTTGAAAAAAAAAATAATAAAATAAAAAACTTCCAATCCTTTCACCAAGTACAGCTCAAAGGAAGCTCAAACACAAGGACAACCTTAATTTTATTTCTAACTCTGCCCATAAAGCCACAAATCCCACCCAATTTTCAAAATTCAAACCTGCTGCCACAAAAGCACATCTGTCTATCTATCTATCCATCTATCTGTTAATTAATCAGCCTATTAACTAATCAAACCCTTAATTAATCAACCTATTCATCCACCTTCGTGGTCTAGTTAGCGCTCTTGCTCGGTCCCAGTCAGCACAGTCTCCAACTGCTCTCTCTCCCCAGTTTCCATTTCAAATGTTGGCTCCCTTGGAGGTAGCGGTTTCATGTGAGTGTTTTGGTTTTCCATTTGAATTTGAAAAGATGGAGGGGGGGGGGTTCATTGGGATAGGCGGTCAATGAAGTTGGACTTCAAGAGTGGGTGATGTCATGGTTTTGCAAAAATATCCTTGGAAAAAGATGTGCTTTTTTAGATTGTGCGAAGAACGAGATTGAAGAGGGAGGGAGGAAACAAAGAGAGACCAAAGGAAAGAGAAAAGAAAAGAAGGAGAGTATCACATGGCAATGGAGGCTTTGGCATATTTGTTGCCTTATTGTCATTGGACTGGAATATGTGGCATCATACTTTTGGATGTAAATGGACTTAGAATTTTTTAACATTGTGAGATGCCGAACAGCATGACATTTTGATGTGTGAGTTGTCATGTGGGGTTGCCTCTACAAGTGTTGAGAGCATCTAAATTGATGATGTGGCCAAATTGATTGATTGTGGGGGGGCAATGAGTGGTGTTTTTATGTGGTGGGTGTGCTCTAGGTTTTCTATGAAGACATAAATAAATAAAGCGAATGGGTTCTTTGTTAAACAAATTTTCATAGTTCGATACAATTCCAGGAAAAAATATATTCATGTGTACATGATAATGGTAAGAACTTGAAGGAGATCATTCAGCCAGAGATACTTATACTCATCAAGATTAATGATTTGGAAGAAGACAAATTCAAAATGAAGGATGCTGTTCCATTTTTCATTTTCAATGCAGATCCCATTCATTTCTGGCATGGGTCATTTTTCAAATCCACTAACACACACCCTCACTAACTGCACATCTCATTTGGATAGCTCATCTGGACATCTATTATATTATATATTTGTTTTCATGCAAAATTCTACAGCTTCTACACATTTATGGCTGTTGAGTTTTCAGTGTATGATCTGAGCATTGATGGCCATCAAGTCCCAACAATTTCTACTCATGAAACAATAAAAATAGAAAAAAGAAAAACAAAATGAAAGAAAAACAGAAGTTTTTTTTGGGGGGCGGGGAGCAACACAAGGCAAGGGGAGAGAAGAAGGGTAATTAAGAAGAGGTTGCGCGTACTTTTCCATGTTGGTGCTTTAATAGCAGAATTAGAATTCTCAATACTGACATCCTTTGAAGAACCGGGTCCCAAAGCATACTTAAAACTTCAAGGCATTCAATGCACTAATGTTTTAAAGTAATCTGCCATTAAAGAATTCTTGATTGGCCTCGGAGTGTGGGCCGTGTCTAGCCTTTTTTCCTGCACCAGAATGGAGCAGTGATCATTCTTCCCTCCAGTCCTGCGTTGCGGACTCGTGTGTTCACACGCAGCGCGGCAACAGCAGCAATCCAGGCTGGGAATCCGTCGTCGTGGAGTCGGGAGCTGCGGTAATCCACCGCGAGGTCGCACCCAGAATAGTTTAGTTTGACACGGAAGCAGTAATAGCACTTCAATTGTCGAAGTCAAAGGGAGGAAATTGTTGTGGCCGTTGCCATCGATAATAGATTGATTGGGGGGGGGGGGGTATAGCGCGAGAGCTAGTAAACCTCTGGCAACAGTTCGTTAAGATTCTCGTGACTGGGAAGCGGGTGAATCCCCTGCAGTTCCGTCCGCCGTTGGGCTCTGAGGGCAGTTAAGACGCGAGAGCGTTGGGTGCCTTGTTTCTAGGATGGTGCCATGTGAGGAATTCTCCGCTTTTTTGTTTGTCCAGCGGAAAGTGATGTGGGTCAGTTGTAGAAAGCCTGCTGATAAGCTAGTCGAGTGCTTCATCCAAGGACGAGGTTAACGCGACCACATAATTCTTCCACTGTCGTGGGGTTGTTTCTGACCTTTTTTCGGTCGCCGTGTGGGCTCGCCCACCTCCGAACTTTCATGTCACACTAAGGCACCGGACTAGGAACTTCTGGCTAGATCCTACAGGACTTTTGTTTCATTCGGCGTGTGATTTTACTAGCACACCTCGTGGTGAGGAGACAATGTGTACAAGTTTGTTGATTTCACGATGATATTTCTCGTCTCTTGAAACCTTCTGGGATTTTATAACAGAATTTAGTCATGCTTCGTGCTGTGATAGCTGTCAGGACGCTACAGGGAATTTTGTTGTCGCGGATTTGAGGATTTGCACATGTGAGGAGGAATGTCGTGAGGCTTTGTGGCAGCAGGTGGCCTGAGCGATGGAAGGATACCAGTTGAGTCTTCAGGGATCGTACTCCGCGCGACTCGAAACGAATGAGAAGAATCCTGTTGGTAGCGCGGACAGTAGAAGTCTAGCGGAACACGTTTCGAAGCAAAGTGATTATCCTCTGGACGTTTCTCACCACGGTGAGTTGGTTAGGGAACGAGTTGGAAATGCAGGATTGCAGCAGCTGATTCTGAAGCCGAGTCCGGCTCGGCATAGCACGGCGTGCTGTGACGGATTGTCCGTTCTTCGAGAAGTCGAGAATGCCGTGGTGCCACTGCAAGACTCCAATTGTATGGGCCACAGTTTCCGGTCGGAGGATAGCGAGAGCTTGGCGCTGTGGGAGGAGAAGGAACAGCCAGTGTCGAACGAAAATGGGTGGGTGAAGATCACAGTTCAGTCGCCGCGGTGGCTTGACGCTATGCGCAAGTTTGAGACCGTGAAGCTTGCGCCGTGGCGAAGCTCACCAGTTCATCCCAAGTCATCTTTGGATAGCCCACGGTTTTCGCTCGACAGGAAATCCAGCAATCGTTCCCTACACGAATCATCTAAGTCGTCGTGGTACAGCCATGCGACCAAAAAGTTTCGTAGCGGAGAGAGTCGATCGGTTCGGAGCCCTTCCAGAGCTTCCAGTGTATCGAGACAGAGTGGGGAGTACAATCCATCTTTCGTTCCTTTCAGTACATGGGTGGACGCTATGGCGGATGACAGCAATCACAGGTGCTTCTCGGGAGTACGGGAGTCGCAGTTTGTTACCGAAGAATACACTCGATTCACTTCTTCCGCAGCTGCATGGGACACTCGATCGAAGTCTCAGCCCGTCTTGGAGAAAGTGCTTCCCGTCAGCGACACTGCTTGGCAAATTCCTGCAGCCGGTCCAGAAACAGAGACTGATACTGTAACCAATGCATCCTTGTTGAAATCAGTCGACAAACTGGTCCTGACGACGAGTGCCGAGCCTGCGGCTACAGACGCCTCACCAAGTACTGCCAAGGGACAACCAGCGTCGGACGAAAATAGGAGCTCAGTTGATGACAATACGAGTACAAGGTCGGGGGACACTGTACGAGCAATCAATCCTGTCGCACATGCGGTTTCCAAACCTCTCGACGTTGAAGAAGATATTGACAGTTCTGTCCCGTCCAAGTGTGAAGCTCCCCGGAAGTGCAAGGTGGACGAGACGACCTCAGCAAACGAGGAGACCCGTTGCGAATCTCTTGAGCCTCCACCGCAGCTGGAAATTCCATCGTCGAAGTCATCATATGGAGTGACGCGGGAGCTGTGTCTTCTGAAGTCGAAGAGCGCGCCACTAGATGGAATTTGCGCAATTCAACCGAAGAACGTTCCGTCATTTTCCGTTCGAAACTCCAGAGGCACACTCCACACACCGCTGCCTCCGTCCGTGGCGATGTTCGTCCGAGAGGGAGTCGTCACTGATACCGATATGCCTGTAGATTCGTTCTTATCGAAGTCGAAATCATCAAATGCTGCGGAAAGTCCTCTGCGCCGATCTCTCAGCCGGGTGGACAGTTCTGCGACGCCAGTGAGATTGTTCTCGAAGCTGCGAAGCAAAGTCTTTAGGCCATCGCGTCTCTCTCCATTTGGCAAAAACGTTGGAAGTGGGGAGTTCTGTGACTCGTATTCTCCGAGAAGCATTCTCTATGGACCAGACCGCGAGAGCTTGCCATCGTCGAATCCTTCCTTGCGCTGCGACCCTGGGATGCCCACCTTCTCAGTCCTACCAGCGTCCGCATCACAATCTTATTCGAGTTCCGGCGCGTCATTCGACCTCAACGAACACGATTTCGAAGCGATGCATCCAGCCTACGATCTCAACGCGACAACACGCTGTAAGGCCGTGGATTCACTGCGAGCGAGTTTATCCTTTCGCGACTTCGGTCCTTCACGAACTTGCTGGGAGAACGTGGGTGCCAAGGTTGATCTCGCGGCAGTGGAAGCGGCCGCGATTACGATGGCGAATATCGACCTCTTCCGATGCGACGATCGATTGGACACGAACGAACTGCGCTCATCGCCGGAGCCGATGCAATCCCCTGAGCTCTGGAAAGCGACATTCTCTACGCGATACGCAGGAGACGAGTCTCCCCAATTCATGCACGAGACTTGTGTTACCACTGAACGTATTTGTCCTTCCTCTGCCCCTCCCCCGAGCCGGCGTCGGTATATGTTGCCCTTGGAGGAAGAGCGCCAACAGCAGACTCCAGTAGTTGTCCCTAGGTCGAGATCGCGTCACAGCGAGTTCACGTCTCGCCTCGGCGGGATGTTCTCTCCGTTACGCTTGCCCGGGAACAGCCGCAGCTGCTTCGTGGGTCATGTGCTCTCGCCACCCCACAACGACGAGGACCGATTGCCGGCTTGCGCTACCACTCTCGAGTTCTTGACGCCATCCGCATCGCAATCGTCTTCCAAGCAGAAGAGATCGAAATCCATTAAGCGACGCCACTCTTCTGACGATTCACCCACTATGATGGTGAGCAGCTGTCACTCATCATAGGCAGGGTCCTTGCAGTCACTGACTAATCAAGCGACAGATTATAAGTTGACGTTTTGGGTTTCAGTTGAATTTTTTTCGCACTTTCAGTTGTATCTATTCAACGGTTTCTTACGATTTTGGTGTGAGGTATGTGCCCAGACATCGATGAGCAAGGCTGTGAAGAAGATATTGGCCAAGTGTAGGATCTCTGGCGGCAAAGGCAAGTCCAAGATGGGCTCCCCAATCTGCGGCACTCTTCGCCCCGTGGACTTCCAGTTTAGTGAGGTACTTCTAATCTTTGTACACTTCGGATCAACTCGCTTCTGCGATAAATTCTCATGTAGCCAATTTCAGTTCAATGGAGTGCACAAGATCTGCGCATGAGGTTCCGAAATCTGACTTTATACATTTGTGTCTTCATGTCACAGGCAAACTGAAGAACTGACGAAACGGTGATTCAATTTTTGATGTACACTGCGTTGGATAACGTCACTTCCGAAGAGCACAGAATTCCCTGTTCGCTATTAGCTTTTCAGCTTCGGACTTTTTCAATCGTCTTCCTTGAGCATAGAGAGCTTGATGTCTGAGTCAACTGATATATTCTGAAATAGAATCAATCCGGCCTTTTTCCAAGCATTTGCAGGAACACGTTTGATGCCACACGTTTTCATCCTCGCTTAGGAATCAATGAGACCGTGAGAGATTGTTTATTGATGGGCACCTACGATGTGCTTCAGCCATGTACAATAGTCGGAGATTTTTGTTGTGAAAAACATTGTAGAGTTGAAGCTCCCGTTTGATCAGCTCACCTGATTTTTAACTCATTCGTCCGGTTGACAATGATGTGGTTTTCACCATTTTATCAGGGCGGGTGTCGAGACAGAACTTGAATCGAAGCTGCGATGCAGCGATGTTTATACTGGACCCAAATTTTGGAATAAACCTCAGCTTGTGAGAATTGACATCGTCTAGTTGGTCTTCGTGTCCACCAGAACTCCATGTACAATCATGTCTGCAATCAGAACATATTATACAGTATTGAATTTGCATTGGTGTACGCACTTTGGACACACCGTCCTAGTTGTGACGTTTACTCCGTGTGCCATGATATATATCAATAAATCTTCTTACTAGGAACAATATTTTCACGACCCAGCCGTTCTAAAACTCTTTTCCCACAACCCAAATGCTGACAGGGGTGGGTCTGTATGCCAATTAAAGGCAGACTTGGAAATGCGGGTTGTGACGTAATTCTATTTCGAGATAATCACCGTCGCTTAATCCCAGAGACTTGAATATTTTTTGAGTTTTGAAGCAACAAATCTAGCTCATGATACCTGATTGCATTGTCACGCAGACTCACCTAGAAGAGCCAAATGAAACACTATTTTGGGAACCAGGTGTTCAGTTCCTAGTCACTGCAAACTAGCGTCCAACAGATCCTACCTCATGATCCATAACACCCTATGGCATGTCTTTGTAGCCTTTGTAATATTGAGAACAATTGCCCTGAACCATTTGATGCTGCACAAAACTTTCCGTCCGACGCTATGCATGGTTGAACAAATCTTGGACTAACCAAACGAAACGTCCAGGGCAGTGTTGACGCACATGTCATCACTTCTTCACAACAGCTGCATTCCCACTGTTGTGAATACTAAATTGAGAGGGCACATATCTCAGACATAGCACATTGTTATTATGTTCAATTCTCAAACTACATATCCACGTGAGGGCAATCTAGAAATAAACGTTGTGTGTTCAAAGTGCTTGAGGTCGCCATCTCCACGCTTAACTCAAATTATGGAAGAAAGTTGAGGTTTAACACCGACAAAACACTCAGTTATCGAAAATGAATTTGCTATGACTCGTGAAGATTGCCTTTGTTTTCTACCCAGTATGTGGAGATTCACGAGTTCGATTGTGAATGCTGAAGGATGATAGCATGAATGGTTATAAACGTGTGTAAAGTGCAGTAGTTCCAGTTAGGGTGGCAACAGGATGGGCTCGAAGAAAATCTGGTTTAGGTTTTCATTTTCTATAGTTCGTTTGAGATTTTCTAACTCTGTGTCAACTTTTGTTCCTATCCTATTAATTTTTTGTTAATTTCACATGTTATCTTCTTTTTAATTTCTCATATTTTATTCTTTGTTAACTTCTATACTAAGTCTTTGTTAACTTCTTGTTTAGTTTTTTTTTTGTTTACTTCTTGTATTTGAATTATCTATTGATTAGTTTGGAATCTATGGAAAAACATGAGAATTTTGGTGTAATAGTATTCAATAGTGAACAGTTTTTTGTTTAGAAATTTCATTTGGATTTGTTCTTTAAGTCAAAAAAATGTACAATGTTATTAGAAGACAAGACCATCAATTAATAATGCTTGCCATTTATAACAATCTAGAGATTCAAGATTAAATAGATATATGGAATTAAAAAAATATTAATGCACATATGCTCATTACTTCTAGTACATCTCCACAAATTATTTCAAAATTAACTAATTGTGCAACTACCAAGACTTTGTAGATAAAATTATGTCCAATTCATCTCTAAAGAACTATAGAAAATATATTTCAATTATAAGATAAATTTAATAATTATAAAATATCACAAATAAATAAGATGTTTATATATTTAGAATATTAAAAATATAACTTTATTGTAGAAGGACTTGTAACATGAAATGCTAGAAATTATGTTAATATAAAAAATAATATCAAGCCTTCTACTAAGTTATAATAATATTCTTGTTGCTTGGATAAATATGCCAAAGGAATAATAGATTGTTTTTACCTTGCAAGAGTATTCCTTTTATGACAAAAGTCTCTTCTAGATACAAGGAGCATAAGAAGACCTCAACAATTTATCTTTTTTTTACTTGCAAAAAAAATTCAAAGTCTACTCTAAAGACTCATTATAAATATCACCAACTCAATGTCCAATATATTTGCAACTTAAAAAATTGTACACATTATTTCAATTATTGCAAGAAGAACTACTAAGTAACTAATTATTTAAAACCAAAGAAGAAGAATTGATAAATTTCCTTGTCAATAAATATTATCATCAAAGCAAACAACACTAAAAGCTTCTACTACAACAATAAAAACTCTCATAATAAGTTACTATCTGCCTCTATTTCTAAGATTTTAAACTTTACTTTCATGACTTCAATTCCATCCTTGCATGCTTATTTAATCTCTTTTTATGGTGAATTTTGGTGCATGGATTTTTTTACTATAATGTATAAAACAAACTTCAAGGAGTAGTTTGATACATTTACTTCCAACTCTAAAGGTGACTAGCCTATTATAGTTGCAGATGACATGATGTCATGGACATAATCATGTAAGCTAATAATTACATATACAAATAGGTAGAAGTAAGTAAAAATAGGTAAAAGTAAGTTAATTCTATAGTATTTAATATGAAAGCTTCCTAGAAGCTTCATAGATGCTGCTTTGACTTCATAGGTGTCTTTAATTGACTTTTTGGATTAGAAACGTGGTCAACAAGTTGGCCATGTGCCACACATGTTGTTAGCTTGAAGATCAAGCTAACTATGTGGCCCACACATAGAAAAACTTGCCTTGTAAGTCAAGGCATGTGTTCTACAAAATCAACATATATTGGAGGTCCTATAGAATGTCGCCACATAGCCCCTAGTTAGATAGTATATATAAAGACAAGAGTGAAGGCTTCTTCACTCTTGTCAACTCCTTTCTTGCTTCCAATCTAGTTTCAAGGATCTCTAGTTTTTTTGTCTTTTGGCAATAGCCATTCTAGTTTCTCTTTTAATATACATATTTATTTATTTATATTTTGTTACCTTTTTTTGAGTGAAGGCTCACTTGTCTCAATTAATTTTTCATCGAGTTCTTGTCCTTGACAAATTGACAAGAATACACCTATAATATCAGAGCTTTGTCTAATCTTGATTAAAAGTGGATTACCCCTTTTTCTTGATAAGATATAAGCATATTAGAAGTTGTGGATTACCCTCTTCTAAACTGATATTGTCCTTAGTATTTTCTTTGTTCTCAAGTCCTCTCTTCTATTTGTCTTGAGCGATATTAGACATCTTCTCTCTTCTAAGTATTATCATGGTAGAACTTGTTGAAATGAAGAGTGTAATGGTACAAATGCAAGAGCAATTGAGGGAGTTAATGCTTACGATGCATCAACTCAATTTACCACCACAAGGAGCAACAAGATTGGCAGGAAGTGAAGATATAGAAATGGTTGGAGCTGCTTCAACATCTGCACCAAACCATGTCCTTTCTCCTATGGTGGAACGCCCTTCAAATGTTAGAGAACCAAGAATTGCCATACCCGAGAAGTTTGATGGCACCAGATCCAAGTTTCGAGGATTTATCAATCAAGTGCAACTTGTGATTGAACTTCAACCCCAAAGCTATCCAACTCCAAGATCACAAGTTAGATTCATTGGTATGCTTCTTTCAGGTTGAGCACTATCATGGATTTCATCTTTTCTTGAACGATGAGATCCAATATTGGATAATCTAGAGGATTTTTTGGCGGAGTTTTGATCCATGTATGGAGAACATGATGCAATTCGTGTTGCAACCAATAAGATCCATATTTTACGACAAGAAAATTGATCAGTAACGTTATACGCTTCACAATTTTGACAACTTGCAACTGATATCAAGTGGGATGATGTTATATTTATTAGTTAATTTCTCTACTGATTACAATATCAGGTAAAAAAATTAATGCTCAACTTACCTGATCCTCAAACATTGAATCAAGCAATTGACTTTGCTGTGAAGTGCGACAATCGCCTTTTTGAATTTCGATTTGAGAACCGTACAAGTGGACCTCAACGTTACTATAATTCAATGGCAACACCAATACCTCTTCAACACATACATTCGAAAGTAGAGGATATGTAAATTGATGCAATACGTTTCAAACCTCTTACTGAGCAAGAAAAGACTCGTCGTCGTCAAGAAGGATTATGTTTATATTGTGGAGAACCAAAGCACACTGCTCAACATTATCCAAAGAAATGACGCAATCACAAAATGAGGAGTATGGCTATGAAAGAAGATAATATGTCAGAAAACGAGTTTGTCTAGCTACAATAGGGACTGTGCGGCTGGAACCTTGCACAACATCTAGTAAAGGTCCTATTCTCTCCTCAGAGCCCTCTCTTTGTTTTACATTAAATGTTATTTTAGGACCTAAATATTACAAAGTCTCTGCCTTGTTAGATTCAGGAGCCTCAGCATGTTTTTTAGATGAAGAATTTACTGAAAGACATAGCATACCTTTAGTAAAGAAAACTAAACCTGTTCATGTAGAAGTCATAGATGGTCGTCCATTGTCTTCTAGAGATATTACTCACCAAACCTTTCCTATAGAAGTAATAATCAATGGTCATAATAGTTTTGTAGTGTTTAATATCATTAGATCTCCCTCTAATCCAGTTATTTTAGGTTTATCGTGGTTAGAAAAATACAACCTTCAAATAGATTGGATTTCCCGAACTCTTACTTTCTCTAAAAGTATAATTAACAGTGTAGTTAATCAAATAGAGAGTCATAAGTCTAGTTCAATTAAATCCGTATTTATAGGTGCAAAAGCTTTCTTGCATGCTGCTATGAAAGAATCACCATATATTATTTATGCCACATCTGTTTCTACTGATGAAAAGACTTCAAGTGGCATTCCAAGCCAATATCAAAAATTTCAAGATGTATTTGAAAAAAAGAATGCAGATATACTCCCGGAACATCATTCCTATGATTGCTCAATTGACCTTCAAGAAGGAACACAACTGCCATTCGGACCAATCTACAGTTTATCACAAAATGAGTTGGTTGAATTCAAGGAGTATATTGAAGAAAATCTAGGTAAGAATTTCATACGCCATTCTAAATCTCCGGCAGGAGCTCCAATTCTATTTGTGAAGAAAAAAGATGGATCATTGTGATGTGTGT